GAAGGACGTTGAGGTGCTGGAGCGTGTCCAGAGAAGGGCAACGGAGCTGGGGAGGGGTCTGGAGCACAAGTCTGATGAGGAGCGGCTGAGGGAACTGGGGGTGTTCAGTCTGGAGAAGAGGAGGCTGAGGGGAGCCCTCATCGCTCTCTGCAACTACCTGAAAGGGGGCTGTGGTGAGGTGGGGGTTGGTCTCTTCTCCCAAGTAACATGTGACAGGATGAGAGGGAACGGCCTCAAGTTGCACCAGGGGAGGTTTAGATTGGAGATTGGGAAAGATTTCCTCACCCAAAGGGTTATCAGGCACTGGCACAGGCTGCCCAGGGAGGTGGGGGAGTCCCCATCCCTGGGGGTATTTCAAAGCCGTGTAGACGTGGTGCTTAGGGACGTGGGCTAGTGGTGGGCTGGGCAGTGCTGGGTTAGTGGTTGGATTCGATGATCTTAGAGGTCTTTTCCAACCTAAACGATTCTGTGATTCTATGAGTCTATGTTTACTGAAAATTTGTATTTCTGTTGAAATCCACTTGACTTCAGATTTCTGCACTAGCCAGCTATCGCAAGGCATCAGCTGTGCCTACGTCTAAGTGACCTGCAGCCCTTCAAATGTTGCCTGTGGGATTGCAGCATCTGTCGAGAAACAGGTGGTTTAAACCCATTTAAACGACACCAGGGGTCTGCCTGGCCGCTGAGCGGGCTGTGAGCTCCTCCACCAGGAGCTGCCACCATGGAGGAGGTGGAGTCACGCTTCCTGCACCTCCTGCAGCCCATCCGCGACCTCACCAAGAACTGGGAGGTGGATGTGGCCACCCAGCTCGGGGAGTACCTGGAGGAGGTAAGGGGGGACCTATGTCCTCTGCGCTGGGTTGGGGAGGTTGGGGGTGATGCCCTTTGGCTCTGTCTGCGCCGCACAACCCGCCAGTGCGCTGCCAGCACTCTTGACCCTTCCCTCTCGCTGCGCTACCCTCGAATCCAGCCTGTGAATCAGCGTTTTGTTTCCCTTCTTTTGCATGTTTTGCAGCTGGATCAAATCTGCATTTCTTTTGACAACGGCAAAACCACCATGAACTTCATAGAAGCCGCCCTGTTGATCCAGGGTTCTGCCTGCATCTACAGCAGGAAGGTGAGGAAGCCAGCAGTGACTGCCACATCGTGGCCCGGGCCCTGTCGCCCTACCCATGCTGCGATCCCTCAGCCGGTGGTCCTGTGGCCGAGCTCCATGGGGGCTGCTCTGGGATTTTGAAAAACTTGAACATAATAACGACTGATGGACATGAAAGGATATAAATTTATAATTCCTAAATTAAACTCCTTATATGTGTTGGCAGCCTGGAAAAGAGCAAGGATTTTGCTGTTCAGCACTTTTTTCTCTAGAGGGTGGAATACAAAAACGCTGCTTCCTTAAATCTGGTTTCAGAATGGCTTAAACAGTGAAAAGAATAAAGAGATGATCAAGAAATTGAACTCCAGCAGCCTGGGGATAAGAGGAGGGCGGTGGTTCTTTCTGGCATCAGCCAGAGTAGCTTCTCTGGGAGCTGCTTTCTCCTTCTCCAAGAGTCTGACTGCTGTTTTGCAGGTGGAGTATCTCTACTCGCTGGTCCACCAAACGCTTGACTTCATCTCCAATAAAAAGTACGTAGATCCCCCCTGCTCTGGGGAGGGAGCTTTGCCGGGGGCTCAGGGCTGCCACTTTCCAGTGTGCCTTCGCTGCCCTGGCAGAAAACGCTGCCGTGTGCTTTTCTGCCTTGCTGCTCTTGGCATTGTGGTAGGGCCCGAGTCCTTCCCCATTCTCTGTCCTGCTTAGTTTCGGTAGCTCCTGCCCCGAGAGCGCACGAGCTGTGCCTCCTTTTGGGGATGGGGTTGGGACTTGCCCCACCCGCAGCAGGAGCCTGTGGGTGCTCCCGCTCTGAGCCTTGCTTCTGCTTCTACTGACCGCTCTGCCCCTAGGGCAATCATCACTTCAGAAAACCCAAACCAACCCACTTGCAGCATCAGCCTCCAGCCCCGTAAGATGTTGTTTGAAGCAGAATGATTTTTGTGGCTGCAGGAAAGTCCCCTGGTGGGACTTGCTTCAGCCCAGAGGGCCTGGGGCGATGCTCGTCCCACCCTTCTTCCATGGCATCATCCTGTGGTTTTCTTGCTGCAGCGCTTTGCTGTTGCCTAAGGAGAGGACAGCGCCCAGCGTCCCACAGAGTAAATCTTGGCAGACAAGGAACTGCCCTGTGTGGCAAAACAGCTTGTGATTTATTTTGAAAGTGGAGCTCTGCCGCTGCAGCTCTCAAGCGGCCTTGCATAGCTTGCCTGGTGCCAGCCTGGCGCCGGCTCTGAACACCTCTCTGCTAAGGTGAGGTCAGCTAATGGCACCCTCCCGCCTGCGCCCAGACTGGCGATTTGGGAAAAGACGAGGTTGCTGTGCTGCACCTCGCTCCAAATGGGCGCTTGGCTCCGACCACGCGAACGAGCTTCCTGAAGGAACCGTCCTGCCGCTGCTTTGCCCAGCCCTGAGCCCCGCTCGTAGGAAATACTGGCACTTGTTTGGGGAGGTCGAGGCAGAGGACCTGAAAGATCCTCTGCTTGGGCTGGAGCAGTGTGAAGCTGCTGTGGAGGTTTCCGAAACTCTTTGCCAATTATTTCCGTGCTGTGGGATTGAAGTGAAACATGCCCTCCTGTTTCTGTAACAGATCTTCCGAGCTGGAATTGGCAGGACATTTTTGTTCCAGATGGGATTTGTCGGGCAGGCTGTATCCCCCTCTTCCCGCAAGCTCCAACTCCTTTGCAGCCCCCACCGCCTTCCTGGGCAGTGGCGGTGCCGACGGTCACACCGTCACCTCTCCATGCTGTCCATAGCACCATGGGATGCCCCTGCATAGAGATGCTGCAGCGGGGTTGGAGGGAACCTGCCACTGCTTTGCCTCCAGCCTGTCGCTGCTGCCCCGAGCAGATCCTGACTGTGTGTTTTGCTCCCTGACTCAGGCGGGAAAAACAGCCCAGCTCCCTGGGGCAGGACGGCAAAGACGCTGACGTGAGCTTTGGGCCTGAAAAGGAGGAGGTGAGAGCGGTGTCTGCGCCCCATCACGGCGTGGGGAGCGGAGTGCTCAGTGGCTTGTGAGCGCGGGCAGAGCTGCTTTTGGGGGTGAGGGGGTTGCCGGCGGCGGGGTGTGCCCCCAGCGCTCCCCGCTTTCTAACTGGCGCCGTGGCTGCCATCTCCTGTGGATGCTCTTCCCTAGCAGGGTGTGTTTAGCCCCACATCCCCTCTTCGGCCCCCGGGCACAGCAGGACTGCTCTGTGAGCTTTTTGTCATGATGCTGCTGTGCTGCCCTCCAAGGGACGTGACCTGCCACCTTGCAGCTCTCCCGGAGAAGAGCTAGCCCCCATGCAGCGCGTGGGGACCTCCCTTCACCCTGTGGCTTCACCTTCCTTCTCTTATCCTCCAACTTGGGCTGGACCCTTTCCATTGGAGCGGGCACCTTCATTCCTTCTTTGCTTTCCTCCCACCCATCGGGTGCTGCCCACGCAGTGCTGCACACCTCAGCCCTGCTCCTGTCCTGCTACAGCAGCTCAAAAGCTGCAGCTCCATTGCCTTTGCGGCTGGCTCTGTCCCGCTCGTGTGCACGCGCCCCGTATTCGTGCCGCTCCAGTTAGGGTCCATTGGTGGTGGTGCAGCCCGGAGGGCCAAGCCAGGGTGACCGCTGGTGGGGCTCTCTCGGCAGTTCCTCTCCCTGGACGACATCAGGGACGACAGCCAGGCAAGCATGGACATGAAGAAGGATCATCAGCCCAGCGTAAGAGCTCTGCTCTTTTTCTGTCCCTCCCTGTGTCAGGGTTTCCCCGGATGATTCCCACAGGCGTGCGGGGCCAG